TTCTGGCCTGGAAGAAACATTACTATTGTTGAAGAATAATTATGCCAAGTGGGGACCTGGTTTGAGCCCCCCAGTCTGCCTGTGCTTCTGTGCTAGAGAACATTCCACGGTAGATGATGGTCTGGGATGACACTGGCTGCAGGCCACTGGAGAAATGACTGTATAAAGAAAGACAAGACACTCTTACAGGGCTTGGGCCACTTCATAATTTAAGTAAATGCAAGAAACTTAGAGGTCCCCACTTGGCATAATTTCTCTTTGATTCCAACAGTCGCCGCAATGTATGTAAGGTCTGTTGAAATATTCTTCTTCTTTGGGGAAAACCATGAAAGCAATTTTTTTCCCAATGAACTGAGGAAGGGTGGCAAAAAATAAAGAATATGTTTTTTCTAATGGTTAAAGTTATGTCTGACAGCCAATTTGGTGTAGTGGTTAAGGTATCAAGCTAGAAACTATGAGACCATAAGTTCTGCCTTAGGCACGAAAACCAAATGAGTGACCTTGGGCCAGTCCCTCTCTCTCAGCCTAGGAAGGAGGCAATGGCAAAGCACTTCTGAAATCTTGCCAAGAAAACTGCAGGGACTGGTCCAGGCGGTCACCAGGAGTCAAGACTGACTTGAAGGCACTAAATAAATAAATAAAGTTATGTCCAGGGTGTTAAACCTCCCAGTTAATCAGCCTGTGCCTATCAAATGAATAACACATATAATAGTTAGAAAGACCCTGTTGTCATTTGGAACCTGGAAATAAACCTTGAAAATTCCTAATTGAAAAAAAGGTAGCTTTAGCTATTTCAAGAAGTTTTAATGCATAACAAATGTTAAAGATGTAATATACAAATGCTAATTATCCTGGCCACAGATGCTCTAGCTCTGAAGAAACAGGCCGCATAACAGACTGTCAGCGTTTCAAGGGGATCAAATGAAAATTAATGGAGGTTAAAAGTAGGCTCACACAATGCACTGAGCCATTGTTTGTAGAACAAGACACAATTGGTTAGGTTTACACATTGTGTTAAATTATGGTTTGTTGAGATTGGGTCCAAATGTTGCATTAGGTCATAATAGGGTTTGTTTTGCTATGCCTTGTGAGCATAGTCATTGTGGTTTGTGTACCATAGCCTATTGATTAGCATGTTTATTTCTTCTCCCATTATGCCTTTCAGCGGGTTGATCCAAAGAACATACTAAGCCAAAACTGGTTTCTCTGGCTTTGGCTTTGTGTGTTGTATGAACCCAACTACTATGGTTTGTAAATAATTATGATATAGCATGTTATGCGAGTCCAGCCAATTATAGCTTATTCAGTAAACCCTAGCTAGGAAGCTATGGGATAGTGATTTCTGAACCCAGTTAATTTGTCCAGGTTCAGCTGAAATAGCAACCTTAATCTAACGTGGAAACAAAAACTTCCAAATTTCTACAGATGGGATTGTGTACGCTCACTGAAGCTTGCTTCCATAACAATAAACCTTGGTTACATCTTAATCAGCCCAGTGAGTTGAAAATATACATTATTCTTAGTAAATATACATGCTCTCCTAAGTGTATATCTCATTGAACTCAATTGGACTTAACTGCTGGAAAGACACCCATGGGGTTGGGCATTTATTGTCCCTCTGTCAAAGGCAGCAGGTAACTCTGCAGGACAAATAACATCAAAGAACTGCTAATTGCATTGACTCGGCAGTTTCTTCCACAGCAAAAATGTACTTCCTCTGCAGTTTGCAAACCCTGACAGCTGACCTATTACTGGCTTGCAGAGGAAGTTGGCAGCAGCTTCATCTGCAAATCTAGGAAGGCATGGGATGGAGGAAACCACAAAAGAAATATGCAGAAGCAAAATAACAGCAGCAACATCAAGCACATATTTTTTTGTCCTTCTTAGTTCCAAAAAGCATTACAAGGATACAAAGACTAATAATATCTTCGGATTCTAACTTTAGGAATGATTTCGATCCAATGTCAACTGCACACAGTGGGCCTTTCTTCTAAGGATGTCTGCAAAGGGCAAACTTTATAACTGAGAGAGGATTCAGACATGTATCCCTTATTTTGGCTTAGTTCTTAGATTTGCTTGCTTGTTAGTTAGTGTGTTGTCTGAACCAGCCATGGTGAACCATGGCTTGTATTAGCCCATCCACTCGTGGCTTATTCTACATAGCCTGATTAAGTTAACTATGGTTTAGCTCAATGTGTGAATCCAAACAATCCTAAGCCATTTCCATAATGGTACAATATAGTCTGTTCTTTACAGGCATCAGAATGGCACTAGGTTAAAAATAGGGATAAAATGGTCATATTCTCCTACTGAAATGCTGTCTTATTTTTCAAAGATAAGTCATAGTGGTGGGGGAAACCCACAGCTGTCTAACCAAATTTGCTTTTTTAGAGTAAGGAAATAAAATGAAGAAGCTATAGAGTTTAGCTTCTTAGCAACTCACTGAGAAGGAACATCAATAACTAAAGTCTGGACTTTATTAGGCATAGAAAGTATATCTTTGATTAAGCTTATAAGGTCTCCTTATAAGCAATACGTTCCTAGCAGCCAAAGTCAAAGATGAAGTAATAATAATGGTTATTTATTTATTCTGTGATTTTACCAAGGCACAAGTCCAGGTTAGAAAAACACGTTATGAAATTCCATCCAATATAATCAGTTCACAATGTAATAGCCAGACCAATGTAATTATTAACAACTAAGACAGACCAAACATAACCATGCATATTTGAAACAATTATCTGCAATTCAGTTAAATGTGTACACATCCATAATTAAAACAGGTATTGATTTAGGAACCGCCAAGATTGATGAGATTAGCGTGTAATAACACTAACCCACTGCTCTGATAAAAAATATTTAAATCCCTTTTAAGGGCCAGAGGCAAGTGGAGGGAGGGAGCAGATTCCAGAGACCCAGGACCAGGGCCCTGAAAATCTAGAACTTGGAGACCTTGACTCTGACATGAGAAAAGGAAGATCCTGCACAGAGTTGCCTAAGGAACAAACAGGATTGTAAAGTGATATAATGGTAGACTGGTATATGTGTGTGACCGGCAGGCTCTAGACACAAGCACCAGTAGTTTAACTTGGACTCAGGCTTGAAGAGGGTGCTAGTGAAGAGTCCTATGGTGTGCCAAGGGATAACAATATCATGGAACGTCCAGAGCAGCCCAGACAGCACTGGTCTGGATTAAGCCGAGTAATTCAGTAACAATGATTTAGTAATGCAGTATTGTGTTAAAACAGGAGACACCAAGAGCATGCAGTGACAATTGTTAATGCAGTTACATAAAGGGCACCCTTATTATTTGGCCAGTATGATGCTTTTGTGGCACCAGTGCGGGGTTTACATATACTGTAGTGCAAAATGTCATTTGATTGGTTTTAGCTCAGTGTCATACATGAACTTGTGACTTGCAAACCATGGTTTACGACTACCACTATGCCTGAACACAGGTTCTGTTGGTCGTCTTTATTTCTACCACCTCCTTCATGGGTAAAAGTGCAACTAACGTGTACCTTTTTTCTCTCCCTGCCTGATCAATGGGTCCCCAAATGATTACCCAGGAAATGGTAGATAACAGAACAGCAGCAAACAGGCTCAGGGGGTGTTTGCATGTCAGATTAAGTTACTCTCAATAGGATTGTGGATACTGTCATCTTATCCCCACTTACTTGGTCATATAATAGTCAGTGGCTTCTCTAATGGTAAGAACACCACCTCAATTCAGGGCAGTCATCATTTTTGGTTAATACTTACCAGAATCTGAAAACAACTGGCAATAGTTTGAAATCCTGCTTATTTCTAATAAAAATGGCAGCTCTGCCAGGTTGGATAGCAACCTTAGATAAGCTGTGCAGGATAGGGTGGAGCATCAATGGTGGTAGGAAGAGGTAAGCTTTCCTCTTTCCCCTCTTCATTTTCATCATCCAATTAACTTCACAATCCTATAAGATTTCAACTGACTCCCCATTGTGTCCATAATCTTATCCCAAATTTCTCCTTATATTGGCACATAATATAACTGTCACGGAAGTTATGTTAGCAGCGTTTCATGTTTGTGTGAAGTGGAATGCCAGCATAACTTCATTTCTCTTTTACAATTTATTATGCTGGGGTGGTGAAATTTAAGAAAAATGCCATCTCTACCCAGTGGTATCAATTCAAGAAAATACACATTAGTTTTTTTAAAAATGCCTACACTGAGTTTTTGTAACATTTGTCGAATCAGATTATAATGATGTAGTGCGATCAGTTATGATCTATGAATTTATCCAGGCTATGCTTGGAGATTGTGCTAAGGCCTGGATTAAGTATGCTTTATTGAACAAATCCCAATTGACTGCGTTTTTGCAATGCGCTGATAGCTATAAATCAGCGCTTCTGGGGGAAGCCTGCTGGCTGGGGAATTCTGGGAGTTGAAGTCCACACACCTTCAAGTTGCCAAGGTTGAGAAACACTGCTATAAATTATAGATTATGAACCATAATTGTTGTGTTCACACTATGCTCTAATTCAAAACCATTATGGTTTAGCAGTATTATCTGAAACAGGTCACTGAGTCCAATAATCTTTCTCCCTGAAGGTTGGGCATGATTGTAGCCTTAATCAGCTGTTTACTTGACTAACTGGATGGGAAAAAAATGATAAATCCCTTCGATATTTCACTGTCGGCTCTGGTGATGGAAGTCCTCGTCCATCTGCCATTCTGCATCCTCTGTCCCAAGGAAGGGAGGGGAAGCAGGACTCAAACGTCGGGCAAAGAGAACGGGGTGAGGACTTCACTTTCCCTGCCGCGCACGCCCTGAACCTCTGCGCATGCTCCCATCGAGGAAATGCGCGTGTCGGCCGGCTCTAGCCTTACAACTCCGCGCTGGGAGCGATGCGTCTGCTTGGGGGAGGGAGGCGGGGCGCTCTGGTACAGAGAAGGCCGGGAGGGGGAGGCGCGACGGCGGCCCCCCCACCCC